TTAATCTAAAAAAGCAAATGGTGGGGCGTGCAACAAACTCTCTCCAACGTTGCTTGAGTGGATCAAGGCGAAACTTCTCACTTTGTACCTTGTAATAAGGATGTTCCCTGTAATAAGGTTGTTCCCTGTAATCAGGCAAAGAATACACCTTCAATGGTGCTTCTTCCGGCAATCAAAATGGGTAGGGTGGATTTTTTTCAAAATCCACAAAACTCGATTTCTTAGCCATTGTAAGTTGGAACTGTCAGGGTTTGGGAAGCGACCCTACAGTTCGACGTTTCTGTGAAATAAAATCTTCTAGATTTCCGGATTTATTGTTTCTCGCTGAGACTAAGAACCAAGATGACTTCATTCACTCTTCTCTGGATTGGATGGGGTATGATAACCTCTTTACTGATCCATCTGTAGGTTTGAGTGGAGGCTTAGCTCTGCTGTGGAAAAAGGACATCTCTGTTCAAATTCTAAAATCTTCAGCAAACTACATTGACACAAGAGTAACCTATAAAGCTTACACTTTTTTCACTACCTTCATCTATGCCCCTCCCCCCAATCATCAAGGAGTTGATGTCGGAAGAAGGAGAGAACAAAGATTCACCATGGCTGCTCACTGGTGATTTCAATGACATCTTACATAACTCAGAAAAAGTCGGAGGCCCTGCTCGTTGTGAAGGATCTTTCATCTGATTTCGAAGTTTCGTCTCAAGCAACGGTCTATGGGATTTAAAGCATACAGGAAACCCCCTGTCCTGGTGAGTGAGCCGCCATTCCCACGATATCAAGGAAAGACTTGACATAACTCTTATAAATTGCGCTTGTTCCCTTCAGGGAGATGCGACTACTTAAGATACGAGGGCTCGGACCATAGACCCTTGGTCACTTACTTTGATACATCAAGAACAAAGAAGAAGCGCCCCTTTTTTGTTATGATAGAAGGCTCGGAGAAAAAGAAGGGGTGAGAGAACTCGTAGAAGAAGCTTGGAAGCCACTCAAAGAAGAATCAGTTGGGGAGAAATTCATTACGGTACGCAGAGCACTAATCAAGTGGTCAAAAGACCAAAAACTCAACAGCTTCGAAATGCATTACTGAGCTACAAGAGGCCCTCTCAGCTGATGTTCTGGTTTTAGCCACTATCGACGCGATTAAAGCAAAAATGTCTGTTGCTTACAAAGATGAAGAAGCGTTTTGGAGACAAAGGAGCAGGATTATGTGGCTGCAATCAGGAGACAGAAATACTGGTTATTTTCACTCAGTAACAAAAAGCAGAAGGACGAGCAACAGAATCTCTGTCATAGAAGACTCCTCGGCTCAACCAGTTTATGAAGACAATCAAAATGGCAAGGTGTTTGCAGACTTCTATCAGAACCTCTTTTCTTCAGGAAGAGGACAAGACTTTAACACGGTTGAGGAGACCATTAAACCATGTATTTCTCAGGAGGAGAACAATGCTCTCTGCTCAATTCCTAATGATGAGGAAATCCGAAGAGCATTTTTTGACATCCATGCAGATAAAGCCCTTGGAGCTGATGGCTTTTCTGCGGGCTTTTACCAAAGTTTTTGGAATGTAATTGGGAAGAATGTCTCGAAGGAAGTCAGATCTTTCTTTGAAACGAACAGCATGGATACAAAGGTCAATGAGACTCATGTCTGTCTTTTACCAAAAAGATCTGATCCGAAGGCTGCTGCAGACTATCGTCCGATTGCGCTGTGCAATGTGAGGTACAAAATCATTGCCAAGATCATTACACACAGGCTTCAACCCTTTCTAGACAAACTCATCTCCAAACACCAGTCTACCTTTGTACCGGGAAGAGTCATAACCGAAAATGTGCTCATTACACATGAAACCTTGCATTTCTTGAGGATCTCACAAGCAACCAAAAGATGTTCTATGGTCATTAAAACAGATATGAGCAAGGCGTATGATCGCATTGAATGGGGTTCTTTAGAAGCTGTCCTGACTAAGTTTGGCTTTAGCTCGGTTTGGACCAAGTGGATTCTTCACTGTGTGTCAACAGTGTCTTACAACTTTCTGATCAATGGACTGCCAAATGGGAATGTCTCTCCAACTCGTGGATTAAGACAGGGAGACCCTTTTTCCCCGTATTTGTTCATCATGAGCACAGAGGTTCTTTCTGGCCTTTGTAGGAAAGCGCAAGAAGCTGGGAAACTCAAAGGGATTCAAGTTGCAAGAAGAAACCCTTTTGTGAATCATCTGCTCTTTGCAGATAACACAATGTTCTTCTGTAGAACAAATGCTGTCTGTTGTGCCACTCTAAGCCTCATCCTCAAACGCTATGAACAGAGTTCGGGTCAATGTATCAACCTCAATAAATGATATGCTCAAAGTTTAATCCCTAGAGCTACTCTGCTAGAGCACAGATATGCAATTGTAGTATAATAGGGGTCGAACCACAGAGACGAGAGATTCGCACAATAAACTATCTAGGCTTGAATTACGCTAAGCAAACACAATGAATTTAAAAGCAACAAAAGCAAAACGGTTGTAAACTAGATGGAAAAGAATTAGGCTCAGGGTATTTCTCAGGAAATCAGAGAATGCAGATAAATCGATAAATCAGGGTTCAGGTTTAAGCACGGTTCTTGAACTCAAATCACGAAACTATAATTAACCAACTTACGTTGCGAGAATTATCTAAGTCTAAATCTCAGAATCCCAAATTCCTTTGCAAATCCTCAAGACATAAACCAGCTTTAAGCACAAGTTTGATATGTTCACAAAGCATCTAAACCAAATTCATTTGCGAATAGCTACTTTGCTCACCCTAGGTTCTTTCCAGTCATTCAATTACACTTCCGTGTCAATCAATTAACCTAAGATCTAAGTTCTAGGTGGCCAGTCCATAATTAGCTTTAAGAACAACCTATGGTGAAGAACTAATCAGATTATGAACTAATCAAATTATGAACCCTAACTGATCAATCAATCTAACATCCAATGAAATCTTTTATGAGAACCCTAAACCTACCAAACAAACTACTCAGACATGAAGATTGAAACAATAAACATGAATGAATAGATTGCAGAAAACAGTAAATAGATTAATAAACAGGGGTTCGAAATCTTCTCTCTCCGGAGCAGAGTTTTAGACTTGTCTCCCCAAAAGCTCTCAAAAACAAAAGTCCTCTCTAAGAAAATCTAAGGTATCGATATAAGCTGGCTAAAAACCCTATTAAATAGTAAAAATCACGTGTTGGGCTTCCTTGTAATTATTTGGAGACTTTTGGGCCCAACTCCTTCTTCAAACAGGAAACAAAATCGCGTTTTCCTTATTTCTGCGATCGGTGTCGAGCGTCATTCTCCATGGTGTCGAGCGACACTAAAGCACAAAATCCATCCTTGACGAATTTGATCCTGATTAAGCTCCATAGTGTTCCAAAATCTCCAGTTAAGCTCCAAACGTACCTAAGACTTGTAAAGACTCCAAAAGACTCGAAAAACACTAGAAAATACTATATAAATAAGACTTATACCATGGTTAAAAACCATAAAAACCATGATATATCAATAAATCCACAATCCCTTTCTCTTCCAAAACGCCGGAAGAGGTTAAAATAAAGGGTAAAGGCCTCTTTGGGCATTCAGAATGAATGTGGGACGGGGAAATATCTTGGCCTCCCTGAAAATTTTGGAAGGAAAAAGAGAGATGTTTTTACTGGCTTGGTGGACAGAATCAGACAAAAGGCGCTTAGCTGGTCTACAAAGTTCCTAAGTGGAGCCGGAAAACAAATTCTTCTTCAGGTGGTTTTAGCTGCATTACCAACTTACACCATGTCATGTTTCAAAATTCCTTTATCCCTGTGTAAGAGAATCCAGTCTATACTCACCAGATTCTGGTGGGATTCCTCCCTGACAAACGTAAAATCTCGTGGGTTGCTTGGAGTAAACTTACACAACCAAAAGCAGAAGGTGGCCTCGGGTTTAAGGAGCTAGACCTATTCAATGATGCCTTGCTAGCCAAGGTTGGATGGCGAATTTTCAAGCACCCAGATTCCCTCTTATCACAAGTTCTAAAAGGTAAATACTTTCTTGACTCTTCTTTTTTAGAGGGCAAAACTTCTTCAAATCCCTCTCATGGTTGGAGAGGTATTTTGGTGGGGCGAGATGTTCTCCTAAAAGGGTTAGGGTGGTTAGTGGGAAAAAGAGACCAGATTAGAGTTTGGAAGGATCTGTGGCTCTCCACCAAAATCCATCTGACCCCAATTGGCTCGGCTCCCCTCGAGAACCCTCCTCTCCTGGTCAAAGACCTGCTTGATGTAAGTACTAACGACTCGAATTTAGAGGCTGCATGTACCTCAGGAAAGTATCAAACAACTTTACCCCGGCTCTAGTAAGCCTGCGGATCGTCTAGTTTGGTACCTGAGGAGTCAGGAGTCTACTCTTCTAAATCAATATACCAGATGCTGAAACAGGGGAAGGAGATCACAGAACCTGCCACTTTCAGTTGGTACAGGAACATCTGGAACTCTGAGACCTCCCTTAAGGTAAAATATTTTCTGTGGCGGGCTGAGAATAAGACACTTCCAGTGGGCTCTCAGTTGGAAATCAGAGGTGTTACAACAGACTTACTGCAGAAAATGTGGGGAACCTGAGAGCATTTGTCACATCTTGTTCAATTGTCCTTTTGCTCAAGCAGTTTTGGAACTGGCACCGATCTCGATCAAACCAGATTTCTTTAGCAACCGGGAAGATTTTAAATAGTACCTGGAGTCCTGCAACATGAGCTCCAACCTCCCGCCTTCATGCCTATCCCATACGCCACTGCACCCATGGCTCTTATGGAACCTCTGAACAGCACGCAACCAGGAGATTTTTGAAAACAGAACTTTTTCTAAGAGTGAAGTGATTCTCAAGGCATCGTTGGATGCAAAGGAATGGCAAGATGCCAAACTTTCTGTTCCTAAGCCAACGACAGTCTTACATCCACCAGTCATGGCTTGAGCCACATTGCACCCACTCTGCTTTGTTGATGGTGCATGGATGGAGAACACGTTAGGAGGAGGCATAGGATGGCTGATAAAAGACACCAAAGGAATCACCATTCTTCAAGGAACAGATAATCGTATGTTTGTCCCTTTAGCCCTAGCAGCGGAAGCCTTTGCGGTGAAGGCGGCTCTTCATCATGCGTTGGATTCAGATTTCACTAGTCTCTCCATTCAGTCGGACTCTGATGTCCTCGTTAAGGCCCTGCGTTCAGGGTTGGTGATGAATGAGATTGCAGGCATCCTTCATGACATTAGATACCTTGCTTCTCGCTTTCACCATATCTCTTTTTATGTTGTTCCTCGCTCTGCAAATTGTTTAGCAGATGCTTTGTCTACATTTGCTTTGTCAGAAGCCTTTTGGCTGGCTAAGCCTAAGTAATGAGAAGAAAATGTTGACCAAAAAAAAAAAGAATGTACAGCTTTTTTGTTTTTTTTTTCAACAGAATGTACAGCTTATATACAAGAGGAAAACGTACGCATGGGGGTTAGACAAATAAAAGTAATAGACTAATTACAGGAGAGATATATGGTGTGTACTGATAGATGATATCGTGAATATTCGCCCAAAATTTTCAGATTCCTTGGCGATTTGGTTTCAAAGACATGTGTCTTTCTAGCTCTTTCATTTTCCACCTTTGTGTATGTCCAGTGTGGTTTTTGTTTTTGGTTTTAACTCGCCCATGCTACATGGTGCTGCTGAAAACTCTTTTCTCTTAAACCTTAATTTTTGTCGTCTTAATGTTCATTAATAAAATCAGAAATTATACCCAAAAAACATTTATACATTATTTTTGGAGGATGAGTTGGTTCTAAAAAGGTCATAAACGATAGTTTTATTTTATCTGTGAAAACATTGCCACTAATTAACTCTTTGCTTGGAGGTTACGGAATTGCCGCAAGAGGCTTTGTAATTTTGATTTTAGGAAGCCTTGGAATTTGTCTACAACGCTCTTCTCTTCGTGCCATAATTTGACTTCCGATATTAGTTCCACACGGTGGTGATCGCACAACAGGCATGGGTCGTGGTGGCCCTGGTGGATTTAGGAATTGACTTGGGGGATCAGCTGCCACTCATATAAAAGAATATTTAAGTTAATTTAAATTGTATAAATATTGCTCTAATGTAAAATTCGGTTTTCTGATTACACTTTATTTCAAACTAGGAGAGAATCCGCGCATATGCGCGGATCTTGTTTTAATTTATATTTTAAATAATACATTTTATTTTTACCATCAATGTTTTTTTCGTTTAAAATATTTATATTTTCTGATTTCTTCTAGATGATAAATTATTTGTAATCTCTTCCACACCGGTTGTATCAAATAATCCAATTTTTCTCCTACGGTGATGAGGGACTAAAAATCTACTATTTTAATTTATATATAAAAACGTAATAGCTCATAGAAAAATTTACCATTTGAGTTTTTTGGTTATATATATTTTATTGATTACATCTTTTTAAAAATTACTAAAAAACTTTGTATGACATTTTTATATATCCACTTTTTTTTTACTATTATTTTTTAATAATTTTTTATCTCTTTAATCATTTATTGAATTTTTTTGTGTGTTATAATTTTATTAGATAGAGTTTTATATACGATTATTTAAAATTTCTTAACTTATTCAGTCTGATAATTTTTTCACTTTCATAAAAATTTAATTATACTTTTAGTTTGAAAATGTAGTTTAAATCACTTAGAAAGAAGAAATGGAATGATGTATTTCAAAAAATCTTATATTATATAATATTTATAAATTTTGATATATTTAAAATAAATTTGAATTTATTTATTTAAATATATTTGTTATACATATTAATATTTATTAATGTTCTTTAATGTTTTTTCTTTAAATGTGATTAATTGTTTATTTCATTAAGATTTTAAATCGACAGGTGGCGCTTTCTCCAGTGCTGATGTGGCAAGCAGCTGGAGAAAGTTGGCCAAGTTTTATATATAAGATTTGCATCTACTTAAAGAACGATAAGAATTATAGCCGGTGTAAGCTTGAAAGTTATATACACTAGAAGTGGTCGACAGTTTATCTAATCTTTTTTTTTTGTATTTTTGAATTCTCAAATTTAGTGAGGGGTCGTATTACTTAATCAAAAAGGTTATTTCTCAAAATAAAAATGTTACTTTTAAAATTTTAAAACACATAGGTTAATATTCAAATTATAGAAAATTTTATGATTATTAACCAAATATACCTAATTTTAAATGATAAAGATTTTCCGAATAAGAAGGTACTGACCTATTAGGCGGGAGAGTCTAGCCTCCGTGACACAAACCTGGAAGGATATACATAAAAGTATAAAAATCAAACTTAGGAGAAGAGAAGCTTGTGTTGTTTTCTTCATTATCATTGTTCCTCTCTCACATGTCCAATAATTTAATAACGTATATATATATTGAAATTATTGAAGCAAACAAAAATCAAACGTATGGTTAAGAAGTATACTTGAAGTCAACGAGAAGAAAAATAACTAAATGGCCAAAAGTTTTTCCAAATTTAACGACTTTTCGTTTTTCTTCTAAAACGCGGTTTTGTCCATCCACTAGTCCAATGCATACTAAATGAAAATCCAATTATTTAGTTACCTAAATGCAAAATGAAAATCCAATTTTATGAACCTAAACTAGATAGTTAATTGTGCACGGCTGGCTTAATTATCCGTAAGGGCTGTTGCTGTCATTGAAAATGCCCTGTGTACATTGTTGATATATAATATCACACAAAAAGGTAAAACATTAATATTCAAATCAAAAGTTTTGTTTTATTAAAAGATAGTTAAGAAAAATACAATTTGAGATAAAACCGTTGTAATTTGACGACCTTGTTAACAAAAGGAGAACTCGAAGTAAATTGACGATTTCAAAGCTCACTTTTAAGGTCTCTCTTTGTTCTCGATTTGTGGATGCCTCGAATGAATGAAATCACTCTCTATTTATACGAATACTAAGACGGTTTGATCATGATTTTCCTTTTTCTTCTCGATGTGGGACTTAATATTTTTCTCCTCCGATCTTTCCGGAAATCCTTTGCACGGAGGTCGGCCAATTTTGTGAAATTGGGCTTTTGAATGGGCTTTTCCTCTGAGAGACCTAAGTCGGCCAGCCTGATTTAGACTTGATACGAATCATCGTTAACCGAGGTCTCTCTGGACCGGTATCGATTCATATCGGACTAAATCAGGGGTGCGAAATACACCACCAACAGTAGATCTCCCCCTCTTTGTTCGTCGAAAAAGTTTCTAAAAATGAGTTCAGCGGAATTTATGGATTCTTTAGTATGGTTTGAACTGAGGCCAAATATATATTCTTTCCTTGAGTATAATTTGGCGGAAAAAAATATCTTGTTACTCCAATCTTGTGCCATTTGGCGTTGTTTCCATCTTTGGATCTCCTCTTGTACGAACCCTAATCAGTACAGATCTTCTGATGGCCTCATCTTTCTAAAAATACTTCTTTTCACTTTCATTTCTTCATTATTTCCTCACCTCATAAGGTATTAGTTCTTCCTTCTCTGTAAATTTATTTCTTTCTCTAGATTTTATTTCTAGGTCTTTTTGTAATCTCTCGAGTTGGGTTGCATTCATCAAAGCCCATTTATATCTCTTAAAACCCACTGACCTCCTTTAATTATGCCGACCACTGAACCTTCCTCTTATCCTTTTATTATATTTTGTTATTATTTTTTATAATGTCGACCTTCTTTTATTATGCCCAGCTCAATTACTTGTCTGCATCCGCCTACTTGAAACCGAACTATTTTTTTTTGGTTTGTTTGGCCGGTTTAATTATTAGGCCGAACTCCCTGCTTTTATTTCTTCTGATCTAAACCTCTGTATCCTCCTCATGCTGCCGTCTTTACCATCTCTTTGAGGTCGACAGCCTCTTCTCTTCGTCTCTGACGAACTAATCTTACCCGAGATCGACAGATTCTTGCCGACCTGGCCTCCTTGATCCGCCGATCTCCTCGTCTTCGAGGTCATATGCCCACCTACTTACTCTAAATCTGAGGTCTCCAACTCGTGCTGGCCTGCTTTTTTGCTTAGAGCCCGCCGACCTTCTTGCTTCAATCCGGCGTCTTCGAGTTCAGCTTGACTCTGCCGACCTTGTTCTCCTCTTCTGATCCAACAGTGAGTTTGATTTTTTCCTTTAGTCTTAGCCGCCTCAGAATTACCGAGCTGCTTCCTTGTTCTCTCTATTGTCACTCACGCTGCTGTGTTGAAATAAAGTTCGGCGAGCTGTTATTTCTTCGAGTTTGCAATGAGGTAAAATTTCCACCGACCTACTCTGTATTTGTTTTATGTAGGATTCTAATGGTGCCGAACTTCTTCGAACTCAGAAATGTTTTTATCAAAGGTTGTTTTAACTCAAGTTTTCAAGCTTTCATCTCGAACCTCTTTTAATTTCGAATTACGCTTCTTCTTCTTCTTTGTTTTTCTCTAAGTTCTTCCACAGGCTTCTTTTAAATCTCGCTTTCCATCGATTTTTTTTTTTTTGATTAGTGACCAAACTATTCTCCCGCAGTTGTTTCTCCTTGGGGCTCAGGGTATCCTCTTCCTTGCCGACCTGCATTTGTCCTCCCTAAGGCAAACTTTTTGGAGGTAAAAATTCTGATCTTCTCTCCCCTGCACTTGTTTGCTCGAAATTATGTTGTTTTGAGCTTCCTTTTGTTTTGCTAAGTTGTTTGTCTTTTCAAGGACTCTTTTCCTTCACCAATTTAAGGTCTCCGTTGCTTCGATGACCTTTTTTCTTGTTTGTGCTGATTTCTGTCTGCTGATATTTCCTTATTTCTGATGTTTCTTTCTTTTTTATCATTGTTGGTTACGGGTCGCTTCTCCTGCCTCAAGTCCATCTAGTTCGTCGTCCTCGTCTGGCTGTTCCTCGACGTCTGGCACGTCTTCAAAGGCTGATCTTCGGTTGCAAACTTTCGATGAAGCCGGCCCATCTCATCTTGTGGATGAGATCAGCTCATCTTGTGGTCGCTTCTCCTGCCTCATGAAGACGCCAACCTTGCTCAGGACTGCACAGGGAAGCTGATCCCGGTGAATTAGATCAGAATTTTCACAAAGAGACGGAGCAGATCAGTGAAATCGTCCACGAGAGTCGTAGCGTTTCCTCTGAACCCGAAGTAGCGGCAGGTGGTGATCCTAGGCCTGAGGTCGTTATTGCCATTCTTGCGGCTCGTCATGAGATTGTTTGCCTGGTTTCTGTCAAAGCTTCTCGTTTAAAGGCTAAGACAATCAGGTAGGTCTGGGCATTCGGATATTCGGTTCGGTTTCGGTTCGGAACCAATCGGTTCCGGATATTTCGGATAGAGAAAGTTAGGATCCATCAGATATTTTTATAAATTTCGGTTCGGGTTCGGTACCTTTATTTCGGTTCGGTTCCGGTTCGGATAATCGGATCCGGATCTTTTGCCTCAAATTTTTAATTCGACTCACACTTTTTTAATAAAAAAAATTCAAAAATATATATATCAAAACTTAAAAATATACCCAAAAGTCCCAAAAATAAAGAAAATATATCTGTAAAACCAGAAATATATACCAAATATCAAAAATATCAAAAAAAAAAACTAATATTTAGAAGGATATATAATTATACTTTGGATAATTCGGATATCCAATCGGTTCTCGGTTCGGTACTAGTTCGGTTCCGGTTTTTCGGGTATAAGAGTTTAAGATCCATCAGATATTTTTAAAAATTTCGGTTCGAATTCGGTACCTCCATTTCGGTTCGGTTCCGATTCGGATATTCGGATCCGGGTTTTTTGCCCAGGCCTACAATCAGGTCGGCACTGGGAGAAGCCAATGTTCCTTGTAGTATTAAGGCGATGAAACCTAAACCCTCAGATAGACCCTGGGACGCTCCAGAAGGCTACATCTGTGTCTACGAAGATTTTTTCGGCATTGTGGTCTGTTTTCCCAATTGGGTACTGCAATCGTCGTAGGGTTGCTATATCTCATATGATGCCCTCGGTAACATACAAATAATTATACATTCTAAATAATTATATAGTTAAAATGATTTGGGCTTCATATCCTTTGGAGTTTCTACATGAATTGTCAAACATTTATATAGGAATTAGAAAATGTTACATAATAGGACATCAAATTTTGCCGTATATATTGATGGGCCCGAGCTGAAGTTCTTTGCAAAGAGTGGAGTCTGTAATTATGTATGCAGGAGATATAATATATTGTATGTTAAGCCATTAACCTCTAATGTATTGGTGATTATATAAAAGTAGTTATATGCAGTCTTAAGCACCAACCTTGGCCTCTCAAATATTTAGAAAGAGTTTTCTCTCTCCTCCTTTTCTCTCTCGAGTGATAACAGATCTGAAACTTTTTTCTCTTGTCGACAACTTGAATCCCTCCTATCTCCCTCTCCGGCGTGTGTGGTGGTCCACCGTCGCCGGAGGAGGGACCCTGGTAAACTCCTCTTTCGTTTCTTAGGTGTATTTTTTCATTTTGATTGTCAGCTCGGTGTGGCGTCAAAGTCAAGCTTCTCCAATATGTGGTCTTCGTTCGACAGCGACGGAGCTTCAGTGGCGTCGCTGAGGTTGTGGTGGTGGAAGGCGGTCTCCTTATGGCGATGCACCTCTTTGCCGTTCGCCTCATTCTTTCTTGGTGGGTTTTGCTTTCTTTGGTGTTCACTTTCGTTTCCCTCCGACGGTCTCTTTCGGCTTTTCTTTGAGAGTCTTCGTCGTCAGCGGCGTGCTCTCCGATTTTCCTCAGTGGTGTAGCTTATCTTTCCCCTGTTAAATTCCATCTCCACCTTGTTTTGTTCATAGAGGTGTTCCCGAGGCAGGGGTGGTGGCGATGTAGGCTTTGATCTCTCCGGCTCTGGCGGCAGCGATTCAGACCTAGAGGACGGGTTCAGTCTCTGGTTATGGTGTCGCGGGAGATGTTTTTGCTTGTGGCTAGCCTCCGAGTGGTGGCTCTCATTTCTTCCGGCGTGTGTGGCTCCACCACCAGTGTCTCTCGTTGGTGGCTCTAGGCGGGTGACTCAGCGGCAGTTTCTCTTGGTTTGTTCTTTGAAGAAGTTCCGGTGCTGTTTTTTCACAGTTGTGGCTCGAGTTTCGCTATGGGTGTGTGTTTGTGTTTTCAGTAATTTTCAGCAGTTTTGCAGTTTGGTCTTGGTCTTGGCTCGTGAGGGCTCCAATTGTGGTTCGGTGCAGTTAATGAAGCCTTTCGAGATGTGTATTGTAGAAGCGCCGGTCTGTTATCCGGTTAGATTGTAACTGTGGAGGTTGGTCCCTATGGAGGCTTTGGTTTCTATGGGAATGGTTGTTGAAAGTGACTTCTCTGATTGCCACTCAGACTTCCTTGTCACCGGTTGCAATTCAGTCCGTTACGCATTCCAGAGATTACGTCAGTTTTCGAAGAAGCTGTAGGTATCTTTTTCCGGCGGTTAGAGGACGGGTCTCGGAAGGATGCTCGCAGCAACTATGATGTGAACTCCAGTTCTTTGAACTGCGGCAAAAACATGATGGTCTGTGCTTTGGCCCGTCATTGCTGTTTTCTCACCTTGTTTGATTTTGGTTTTAATTTCTTTGTCTGGCTTGCCGGTTCTTTAGCTCTTTACTATTTCTGTTGTTTCTTTGTTGTTTTTGTATGTTAATAGATTTTGGAGTTTAAATGATTTTTCCCCAAAGTTATAATTTTTTTTTTTGTCAAAAACATAAATACTTAAAACGGATTGAAAATCCAAAACGAGGAAATTACAATTTTCAGTGGGCGCAAGGTTTTTTTTTTACTGTTTTTGCTTTAGGCCAGAAATACCATCAAGCCAGCCAACTTTGTGAGGTGTTTGACAAAACTACAGATGTAATTCTTTGTGACTAAGGTACCCCTTCATGAGATTTAATTAGAACTTGGGCTCAGTCATGTGATGGTTGAAGCTGCCTTCTTTAACTAACTTTGCTTTATTGTCTGTGTTCTAACAGCAAAGTGGGGAGAGAGAGAGAGAGAGAGAGAGAGAGAGAGAGAGAGAGAGAGAGAGAGAGAGAGAGAGAGAGAGAGAGAGAGGGAGAGACTCTAAGGTATTTACAAATTTAAAGATTACCGTAGAGGTACTGTAATAACCCGTTCAAGAGATCAGAAAGCGGTTAATAAAAAATTTTAGAAAAGCAAGGAAGCAGGTAAGGTTAATGGTCAAGAGCTATAGGTTTTAGCTATAGAAGTTAAGTTTTTGTCTATGGAAGTCAAGTATTTAGTCGAGCGGGTGGATCGGTGGGTCGTTTCGGTTCGATCGGAAGGTCAGAAATGGATTGGTCAGGAGAAGCTGCTCGATAACTCAGCAGCTTGACTCAGATGCTTGACTCAGCAGCCTGCTTGCCTGCTTGAGCAGCTTAGAAACACACCAGGCACGCGCCGGGAAACGTTCTGCACGCATCGGAACACGCTTTTCATGCGCTGGGAAACGCTCTGCACGCGCCGGGACACGCTTTTCACGCGCTGGCACACGCCAAGCACGACACAGCAGCTTCATGTTCTGCTTCACATGCTTATGCCTTCACACGCAAGCACAACACAGCTGCTCGAGAATCTTTTCTGTAAGCACAACACAGCTGCTCGGGAATCTTTTTAGATTCTCCAACTTATCCCTATAAATAGAAGCTTTAGGATTTAGTTTTCAGTATAGAAAACAGCAATGAAGCTCTGCTATAAAAGTTCCGGCGACCGTGACCGCCGTCGACCACCACGAACCACCACGCGAGTCGTAGTCGGGTAGCTAGTCGGGTTCAGTCAGGTAGATCATTTTAGTTCGAAGTCACATGTCTAACCTAGTTTTTTGTTCTGAATCCAAATATGACCTCTGTTTGGCCCGGTTCTGGTCGGATCTCTATAAAAATTAAGTTGTGTACGTGACAGAGAGATTATCCTAAACCATAAGAAACCGTTATTGTCTTGAAAGGCCAAGGTGAGTCTCGGTGTGGGTTGTTTGTTGCTTGAATGCAAAGCAAGTAGAGATATATATATATATATATATATGTATATTGCGTGTTGCATTGCGATATGAATCCACGGCATGTGCACTAGCACATATTTTGGTGTCGTGTGGATGAGAGACGTGAGTTTTGATGCCATGTGACGCTTCCCTCAGCCATGTGATGTGATGAGATATCCGGGCTTGCGAGACGAATATGAGAATGTTGTGAAATTCCAGGTCGATGAGTGATGCATGAGAGATGACAGTCGCGACCTTTGGCCTGTGTGGCAGGGGTCCAATTTGTGCAAAATGTGAGATTTTTCTTTGTGCGGGATCCGGTCAATGGCATCTGAGAGATGTGACGTTTGGGTGTATATTGGGTGTATGCATGTATAATAAATAAATATTATCATGCATCTGATGTGAGATTATTATTGTTGTTGCGTGATGCGTGTTGTGTGAAATTATTGGGGTTTATGGGGTTGCTTGAACCGTTAGGGGGAAAAGAACTCACTGAGCAATTAGTTGCTCATGACTCTACTTGTTTTGCAGGTAACCCTAGCGAGTAGCCTTTGGAGGAGGAGCTGTAGGTCAGCCGGTGTAGATTTTGTCTTTTGCAAGTAATAAGTAGGTTTTCTCGATATTTTTGATGTAAATGTTTTCAGGCCCACGTATATATCGGATTTTGTTGTAACGGATGCAACACAAATATATACTATGTATGTTTTATAAAAGCTCAGGCTTTCGAATGATACTAGTCTTTGTTCGAGACGAACCAACTATCGGACACGTCTCAGGTTGAAAAGCTGGGAGACGCGTTCGGTAGGAACAGCGTGTGCAGACGGCGACCTTGGGCTCTTGGACGTGCATGTTCTTGTTTTATTGGAGCACGGCTAAGAACCACGGGCCATCAGTCTGTGCGTGCAACAGTAACACCATCGATCTGGTTGGGTTCGAACGGTCGGCCGTGCATGTTCTTGTTTGATTGTTGTGCGGTCAGTCACTGCACTCGGATCTAGACCGAGTCGGGGGTGTTACAAAGGTCGTATCAGAGCATGGTTTCCATGTTCACTCGGGACCCGTTTTCAAATGTTTTATCGAGTTAATGAGTCGCAAAAGACACTTAGGAAACCGGATAGCTTCTGCATTTAGGAATATAGAATATGATTCAACTTTGTTCCTGCTGCAGATGAATCCGCGCCCAGCTCCTGTAGCCAGACGAATGAGAGGGGGACGACCTTGGGGACCGCCAGGACGTGTAGCTCATCCGATTCAGGAGCAACCTCCTCAGCCAGAATTGCAAAGAGAAGTTCCACCTCCAGAAGACGTTAATCAAGCTATATCGGAGTCATCATCGTCGGGAAGTTCCCTCACTGAATCAATCAGGGAAAATGCTGTAGGAACATCAATGGTGGAAATAAATGATCCAGGGCCGGGATATAAAGAGATACTTATGGGAGGACTCGGAGGTCATGCATCAGATTCGTCTCATGAAAGGGAAAGAGCAAACTTATGATATTGGTACAATACCACCAAGACATGATTACTCAGGCGAAGGATTTTCTAGGACTGAAGATCTGCGATCCAATAAGTCAGCACGGATGGAGGCAGGAAGTTCTAGTAGACCACGTAGGATCTGTGTTGGATGGCTTTATGAGGCGGCATTATCAGGTTTATCAATGCCATCACTGGATGATTCGTCGGAAACTTTTGATTCTCCACTTATGCAGCGTCAGTCCGTCCAGGATAGACCCAGGTTAATAATTAGGTTTTGTCTTAGGACGCTAGTAGACCTTTTAGATAAGGATAAACCTGGACCTTCTCGACCCGCGAAGGGTCTCCGTTCAGGTACGTATGGGTTTTAACTCATTGTTGTTTGACTCATAAATGAATTACGTTGATTTCATGATTGATTGTGATGGATGAAAAGTAAATATAAATAAAATATATGTGAAAGAACATAACGTGTCGGTGTAATCCACCCACGTTTTGTTTGGCAATGAAATTGCCACCAAGTCGGTTGAGAGATTAAGTAAATGGAGAGAGGATAAAGAATCGTTTGTCTAATGTAGAAATTGTTCTAAGTTATCCAGAGATTAAAGAGAAGTAGTTGGGGTGTAACCTTTAGGAATTTAAGGATGAATTCTTTTTAAGAGGGTACAATGTAATAACCCGTTCAAGAGATCAGGACGCGGTCAATAAAAAATCTTAGAAAATCAAGGAAGCAGCTAATGGTCAAGAGCTTTAGGTTTTAGCTATAGAAATTAAATTTTTGTCTATGGAAGTCAAGTATTTAGTCGAGCGGGTGGATCGGTGGGTCGTTTCGGTTCGATCGGAAGGTCAGAAATGGATTGGTCAGGAGAAGCTGCTCGATGACTCAGCAGCTTGACTCAGATGCTTGACTCAGCAGCCTGCTTGCCTGCTTGAGCAGCTTAGACACACGTCAGACACGCGCCGGGAAACGCTCTGCACGCATCGGGACACATTTTTCATGCGCTGGTAAACGCTCTGCACGCGCCGAGACACGCTTTCCATGCGCTGGCACACGCCAAGCACGACACAGCAGCTTCATGTTCTGCTTCACCTGCTTACACTTTCACACGGAAGCACGACGCAGCTGCTCGAGAATCTTTTCTGTAAGCACGACACAGCTGCTCGGAAATCTTTTTAGATTCTCCAACTTATCCCTATAAATAGAAGCTTTAGGATTTAGTTTTCAGTATAGAAAAGAGCAATGAAGCTCTGCTATAAAAGTTCCGGTGACTGTGACCGCCATCGACCACCGCGAACCACCATGCAAGTCGTAGTCGGGTAGCTAGTCGGGTTCAGTCAGGTAGGTCATTTTAGTTCGAAGTCATATGTCTAAACTATTTTTTTGTCCTGAATCCAAATCTGACCTCTGTTTGGCCCACTTTTGGTCGGATCTCTATAAAAATTAAGTTGTGTAGGTGACAGAGAGATTATCCTAAACCATAAGAAACCGTTATTGTCTTGAAAGGTCAAGGTGAGTCTCGGTGTGGATTTTTTTTGCTTGACTGAAAAGCAAGTAGATATATATATATATATATATATGTATATTGCGTGTTGCATTGCGATATGAATCCACGGTACGTGCACTAGCACATATTTTAGTGTCGTGTGGATGAGAGATGTGAGTTTTGATGCCATGTGACGCTTCCCTCAGCCATGTGATGTGATGAGATATCCGGGCTTGCGAGATGGATATAAAAATGTTGTGAAATCCCGGGTCGATGAGTGATGCATGAGAGATGACAGTCACGACCTTTGGCCTGTGTGGCGGGGGTCCAATTTATGCAAAATGTGAGATTTTTCTTTGTGCGGGATCCGGTCAATGGCATCTGAGAGATTTGGCGTTTGGGTGTATATTAGGTATATGCATGTATAATAAATATATATTAGCATGCATCTGATGTGAGATTATTATTGTTGTTGCGTGATGAGTGTTGTGTGAAATTATTGGGGTTTATGGGGTTGCTTGAACGGTTAGGGGGAAACGAACTCACTGAGCAATTAGTTGCTCATGACTCTACTTGTTTTGCAGGTAACCCTAGCGAGTAGCCTTTGGAGGAGGAGCTGTAGGTCAGCCGGTGTAGATTTTGTGTCTTTTGCAAGTAATAAGTAGGTTTTCCCGATATTTTTGATGTAAATGTTTTCAGGCCCACGTATATATCGGATTTTGTTGTAACGGATGAAACACAAATATATATTATGTATGTTTTATAAAAGTTTGGGCTTTTGAATGATACTAGTCTTTGTCCGAGACAAATTAACTATCGGACACGTCTTAGGTTGAAAAGCTGGGAAACGCATTTGGTAGGAACAGCGTGTGCGGATGTTGACCTTGGGCTCTTGGACGTGCATGTTCTTGTTTGATTGGTGCACGATTAAGAACCTCGGGCCATCAATCTGTGTGCGCAACAATAACACTGTTGATCTGGTTTGGGTTCGAACGGTCGACCATGCATGTTGTTGTTTGATTGTTTTACAACCGGTCACTGCACTCGGATCTAGACCGAGTCGGAGGTATTACAGGTACTCTTCAAAACAGTCGACCGTGTGGTTTGGAACTTTGGTTTGGCTCCTCATAATCACTCGAAATTCTCATATTCATACGTCTTTGTAACTTTTTTCATTTCACTCTGTGCGTCCAGGGAATCCCTGTGAGGCTGTGACTTTTCTCCTTTCGGTTTCTTATCTCTATGACTTATCTCTATGACTTCGTGTTGCTGAAAACTCTTTTCTCTTAAACTCTTATTGTCTTAAGACCAGGAATTATACCAAAACAATGTATACAATATTTTTGGAAGCATAAGTTGGTTCTAAAAAAGATTATAACCGATAGTTTTATCTGAAAATCATTGCTGCTAATTAACTCTTGCTGCATGAGGCTTTGGAATTTTTCCTTTTCTGGGGTTCAGAGGCCTTGAAATTTGTCTACAAGGCTCCTCACTTTGTGCCATGATTTGACTTCCGATATTAGATCCACACGGCGGTGAGCGAAATACAGGCATGTGCATGGGCGGATCCGCATCTGAATCAATTTTTTGTCCATCTGAAAAGTTAAAAAACAATCAATAGCTTAATTAGTAGATGTATCTTCTATTAACCTTAGTTAACGGTTTCCTATTTTATTATTTTATCTTTTATATCAAAAAAATCTAGTAGTTTAATTGTTCAGTATCTACATTTACTTTTTTTTGGGGAGGGAGGGGTTGTTCATATATATATATATATATATATATATATATATATTAAGAAAAAAAACATTTCTATCAATATACATACTAATTATTTCAGTTGAGTTCCTTTTAATAATTATTAAATACTTCTTTAAAAAAATAAAACATACTTCAGCATGGAAAAAATACACTGAACAGAAGTAGATCATCGTTATACTTTAAAGTATAATATGACAAAAGATCTTCGGAATAAGAAGGAACTGACCTCCTAGGTGTCTAGCCTCCGTGACATGGACTTGAATTGATAGACATAGAAGTACAAGAACCAAACAGAGAAGAAGAGAAGCTTTTGTTTTTTTATTCATTATCATTGCTCATCTCTCACTCTCGACCAGTTTTATAATGTGGAGCAAACCGTTAATTTCAATACAAAAAAAAAAAAATAATACTATTTTGATTCAACGACTTTTTTTGTTCGCCGACTTCAGAGTTTCTACAAAAACGCGTACACCAACCGACATCTTGTGAATAGACAAAATAAAGACTTGAATTTTTCTTTCGTTTTTGGGTAAAAATAGAGACTTGATTAAATACAACTTTATCAAACTAAACGGGTAAAATTATCCGTAAGAGTTGAAGCATTCTTTGCTCATGCAACGAATCGGGTCTATAATTATGAATACGAGAGTTTTTGGAGGTTTCATTGTTATTATTGTAGATTGAGCCTATTTGCCTTGTTACAATGCCTATTTAGGCATAGTTTAAACTTCTATTTCAGAGGTATAATAAGAAGTTAGAATTTATAACAATTTACATAAATAAGTCGAAGTGGATAATCAAATAATTTTCTCCACATAAACCACCATAGATATAGAATCTATAATTCTACATTTACGATCTAATAAACAGAAATTTTTTGGGATAATTACAAAGATCAACATTAATAAATAAAATGGAACTGTAGGATATTATAGTCTTTGGTAGTTTCATTTACGAAAATAGCTATGGCTCAATTGTTTTTTTTTTTAAAGGGAAAGGATGGGATCTTAAATTCGGGAGTATGGCTTAATTCGGGAGTATGGGATCTTGCGCAACTGATTTTATACTTCATTATTTTCTGAAATCGTCAACAAAAATGAATCAGTAGAAGTTTCTTTTGGAATCTAAAACTCATTAGCCCACATACATATGTTTGTATGTATAAGGCTTAATAAGTCGCTAACCTTTTCAACATGTCTAATAGAACGGGATTAAGTCATTTTTCCTAGTAAACATGATTCACATTTTTTTGTATGATTTATAATCATATAAGCTAAAAGGGTCCACCGTTATGAAGTATCTGAATGTGTTTCTCATTTATATAACCCAGGGTTTGAGTTCATTAGACTTAGGTCTTTTGGAACAATAGTTATAGACAAGCACATTTTGGTTTACAACATAAAATCATTTCTTTAATGAAAATTGAAACAGTTTCCAAATCTA